AGTATTCTTGGGTTGCAATCATAAAAGAGGAAGAAGGGAGTTGGAGCTGACTTTGTGCAGGCTTAGGCCACCTGCTTTCAAAGTCCACAGGTGGAGGTATTCATGTAGACGTGCATATCATCCTGCCTGCAGGATTTTGAGGAAGGAGAAGCTGCACATAAGCAACTGAATGTGAGTCGTTCTCTCCTCTACCTTCCCATAAAGGTCTTTGCAAGAAATCTGTTATTAGAACAGCTGGTGAAGTTGTGTTGAAAAGCTGCACCAACTGCCCCTTGAAATTGTCTGGTTTCCTGTGAATCTGGCTTGCACATGGACCTCTTAAAAATTCAAGCCCTGTCGCAAACATGGAAGAAACACCAGGCCACCTCAGAGTGGAAGGTCAATAAACTCCCCTCCCTAGCGTGTTCTGCATACATCACCCCCACCGTTGTTTTATCCCATGGGAGGAACAGAAGGATTTGCTCCCATTGTGCCCCTCCCCATTCTTCCTTGCTGATCCAAGTACAACAGTCCACATGTGGAAAGCAGCCTTCTTTGCCTGACAGTTCATGGCCTCAACTGGAGACAGATATTTGTTTTCTGCACATTATTAAAGTGCATGCATGTTTGGATTAAGTGGGAGGCCATAGCTCAGTGGTGGAGCACCTGCTTTGCATGCAGAAGGGCCCAGGTTCGGTGCACTTGCTTCTCTCCAGGGTACAGACACATCCTGGAGCATCCATCTGCAGCCTAGTGCCCTTCAAATGTGTGGGACACCAGGTGCCATCCACCCGGCCAGTGCAGCCCCGCTGACCGAGTGTGGTAGTCCGAGGCATGTGGAAGGCAGCAACTCAGGAAAGGCTGCTCTTGTGCGTGGAAGGCTGCAGCTGCACACAGTTCTCTGCTGCCGACCTTTGCCAGGAGTGTAAGGGATGTGCGGGACAGTGGTGTGGGCTCCTTTCTTATTTAGAGCAATATCAGTGTGCATGTCGTAAGGTACCTCCTATTTGTAAGGACCGTCCGAAACCCTGACCTTTCTACCAGTTTTAGTCCTCCAAACTTCCACATGTAGGACAACCACTGCAGATCTATAGGCAGTGGTAGTTGGTATCTGAGAGGTTACTTAGGATAAATTTACACTGACTTTGCCATTGGCACAGCTTTATTCCTACAGTTTAATCATGATCATCTAGAATCAGATTCTGAATGTGATATTTGAGAACTGCAAACTGACTCCAACTTTGCAGCAAACCAACAAGACATATTAAGTGGCCAGAATGCTTCAAGATGCTCCACTTGGCTTGTCATCTCCTTTCTAAAATAGTTGTACTAAATTAAAGCTCTCTTGCTTTCCTTTCCTATATGGTTCTTCCAGGAGATATGATACTCAAGAACATCTTTTGGGGTTTGCTGAATATAATGCAAACTGTCTTTCTCACCATCAGAAACTCTGCAGTGATGTGCAGGTGAAAGTCTTTGGAAAATGTTGCCAGCTCAGACCAGGAGGAGACAGTTCCTCCTCTTTGGACAGTTCTATTAATTCCTCCTCTTCATCTTCTGAAACAAAAGAGCAATGTCCAAAATTTCAGGTGAGAGTTCCTCTTCTTAATTGCATCATGTGGGCATCGTGACTTGCGTTGCATGTTCAAAAACACTGCCTTTTTAGGAAGCACTTGGGACTGTAGGGTGGGGAGTGAGCCCGGAAGCCATTCTTTGGTGATTGTCCAACAAAACAGATGGCTGATGTTGCCGCAGGCTGGAATAGGCAATCCTCAGAATATCACCAGCAGGATGAATGTTACTAGAGGTGGTTTGGCTGGTCTGACAAACAGGGATGACAGGTAGTGAGAGACCATTGAGCCACTAAGAGGCATGTGACTTGGATGCAGCGAACTTGGTAGTGTGCGCACCTGCCCTGTTCGCCAGCAAATAAAAGAAAATGGGCTTGCACTGGAAGAAAGAAGAGTCAAAGGGGGAAATTGTCCCTGGTTTTACACTGTGTGCTGCTGAGGTTTGATTTTAAAAGGAGCTGGCCCATCTCTCACTCTTCAACCAGAAATGTTCTACACAAATTAACACAAATTCTGCTTTATTTCTGGTGTTTGTAATCAGTGTTAAAGTTTTAGCTTTCTTGTAAGTTTGGGAAATGATGAACCGTATCCCCTTCCAAGAGTTAAAGTAAGTTATGATAGCTAATGCAAATTACATTGTGCTAGTGTTAGCAACTTCTAGCTCACCCGTGAATGGATTCCTTGGAAAACCCATCAGGCCTGCTAACATTATTGGTGTTGTGCTAGAAATGCCTTTTGCCAGTGCAAGGTAATTTCTATTAATGCTTATGTCAGCTTGGATACTGTCCATTGTTTACTCAGGATTGCCAATAGAAATTTCCAGTCTATCCATAATAGACTTTTCTTGAGTCTTTAGTCAGAACCAGAAGAGGAGAATCGCTCTCAGATCAGTTTTTGTCATTGATACAGAAATAGAGTTTTGAGAATTTGAATGGTAAATTTTTGATTCTAAGACTGCCGTTTCAAAAGTTTGTCTACAGTCATGGACTCCCAGCGCCCTTCCAAATCTCTCTGTATTTCAAATGTCTGTCATGCTTGATTTAGATATTTGTGAAGCCTTATGCTACAGGATGTTTCAAAACATCTATTTTTGCATGGAAAGCAATTTGAAAATGTTAAACTGTACAGTTTTGTTTGCTGACAACTTAAAAGTTTTATGAGACTGGCACCCATTGAATTTGAGCTACACTTTACGTAAGAGGACAGTTTTTGGCCACCGGTGCAGCCAGAATCATCTGACTGGATATATTTCTGTCGTCTCACCTTGCACTGATCACAAGTGCTTTCTATTCAGCCTTCCTAAAATAGAGCTGAGCTTTTATACCCTTTGTAGTGAAGTAATTCTCTGTTTTAGGAGTGGTGAATCCTAACATAACATATTCTGGAATTTTGCTTTAAGGATGTTAAATATACAGTTCTAATACCAGATTACCGAGCTTTACTAATGTACATTTGTTGCTGTTTTTAACCCCTGTCCCCAACACTTTCCTGCTTTCTCACATCCTTTCACTCAAAACATGAACTTGCACATATACACATTTTCTTGCTTTTACATAAACGCTGCCATATACATACACACATTTTGTTTCTCACACACATTTTCTCTCTCACACACACACACACCCTCCCTCCCTCCCTCTCTCCCTGTCACCTCCCCCCTCATTTTCATGTGCTGCCGTGCCTGAGCATAAAATTATTTTCCTCATCATGGAAGAGTATCTGCTGTGGTTTGGACAGGAAGAGACATGGGTTTCTTTCAACTCCTTTCCTCTTACACAAAGAAAACAGTGTACTCTGCCCAGAATTGAAGTTGCTGCCTCATTTAGATCCCACATCAGGCAGACTTTACTCACAATCTCTGCCACAATTAGTATTATCAGTCACATCTATTAGTATCCCACATGCGGTACTGAAGAGGCAGCAAACATGCCCTTGGCAATATTCTCTTAAAAGTGCTGAGGAGAAATTAAACATATCTGAAGATAATGTCAATGAATTAAATGTTTGATGCAAAGGATGGAATATAGCTCCTCCCTTGAATAATTTACGTGCCTTGCAAAGTATTAATTTCAGTGCAGTGAGGTGCACTTATGGATTTTCAGCTATCAAAAGCTATGAGAAGTGATGAAATACCTGCAAAAAAAAAACTTAGAGGAAAACGAGAAAGACAAAAGGCCCATTCAATCCAGCAGTATCTATACCTATATTATCATATTTTGCCCATCAAATAAACAACTGTCACTCTGAGAGGCAGTGTGGTATAGTGGTTAAGCGAGTGAAACTGGGACTCTGGCGATCTGGGTTCTACTCTCCACCATGGATTCACTGCCGTGGATTCACTGGGTGACCAGTCACAGACTCTTGGCCTAGCCTACCTCACAGGGTTGTTGTTGTGAGGATAAGATTGAGAGGCAAAAAAGAATTATGTGAGCTGCCTTGGAAGGAAATAAATTAATTAATTAATGGGCTTTGAAAAAAAAGCATCTCCAAGAGACATCCCATAAATCTCATTCTACAAAATGGAGTATTATAGTGCTACCCCACAAATTCAGTTCGACCCTCCCGTACATTACTGGCTGAAAACTATTCTGTCTTAATGCTAGAAAATGCCGGTTTTGACTGTTCAGCCTACAAAAGATATGTAGGCTTGGCTCCAAATTCATTCATACATAGTGTAAGCCCATTTAAATCAGTAGAATTAAGTTCTTCATTGTTAACTTAAATCTGATTCCAACCCATTATCTGTAGTGTTACTTATTTGACTAGTACAAGATAACTGTATATGTACTTGATTTACCCAAGCGTGCAAAATTGTGAGCTAGTCTAATACTGATGTTGCTAATTAATGATGGAAAGTAGTGAATTTAGGTGTTCGAACAGCTTGTCATACATTTTAGTATGTTTTGCATACATTTTTCAAAGGTTCTACAATGTGTTTGGTGACTATTATCTTACAGACTGGTTGCTGTATTATTGGAAGGCTCTATTTTGATTTCTAACAAGTTTTGCTCGCCTCTTCCTCTGTGGCAGGGTGGCCGAGGGTGCAGAGCATCCCTCAGAGTCAAAGTTAAGGTGCATCCATGAGGGGCAGAACGATGCACGAGCGGAGGTCGTGCCCCAAGGTTTCTGAGGCATATGGTATTCCCCAGACCAAAATGTTAGATTGGCAACAGTGTATGTGGGAGAAAATCAGATTCAAAACTATATTTGTAGAAAGAGTATTATTGGTGTGATGAGAAACAGCCGTGGTAAATTCCAAACTGCTGTGCAAGACTGAGATTCCAGTGTGCAAAAGATGTGGCCGCACAAACAAGTAGGCTCTTACTGATGATATTTCAAAGATTCTAAGCCAAAATGATGTTTCCTGCTCCCCTTTAGGTAGAGCCTTAATTAAGAATGCCCAAAAAGTGATCAACTGTGCAACATAAAAATTAATGGCATATTTTGCAGGGCTCTCGGTGTTCCTCAGATGCAAATATGCTTGGAGAGATGATGTTTGGCTCTGTAGCCATGAGTTACAAGGGCTCAACCTTAAAAATCCATCAAATCCGGTAAGGCTTTGCTCTTCTGGAGCTTTTTCTTGGGGTCTCATGTTGTTAAGTTAAAAGAAATTGCCAGCATTGTCCTGCATAGCCCTGTGCAGACATCCAAAGAGTATAGAAATGAAGCCATGGAGAAGGGTTATGGGATTGCTCTTTCTTCCTGGCCTTGTCTGATTTCCTCAGGGCTTGTTTGCAGCCCACGGGCTCCTTTGCATGTATGTGTCAGGCAACGTAGGTGCTGAAACACAGCTTGTATCCTTGCCACTTACATGCATCTTTGATCAGTGTGGGGAAGTTGTGAGCAGAGCTAGAAATGCCTGAGAAATTTGCAGTAGATTCAGACTTTTCAGAAGTTTATGACTCCATCTTGCAAATTTCAACCTGGACCAGATCTTTCTGAGTCACATGAATTCAGTGGATTTGCACACTTTAAAAAAAAACTTTTGGGGAGAATATGTGTAATTTTGTTCCCTTGCAAATTTTATGTAAATTAGCCAGGTGTGCATTTACAAATGAATGAAATTCTCATACAAAACCCCCCAGTTCTATCAGTGAATGGATGGTGGAATGAAAGGCCCTGACAATGCATAAAATACAGAGGGTGCATTTTCAACAAAATGCATTAATCCCTGGGCAAAGCTAGCAAGTCCAAGCCCATTTTCTCTCCCTCTCTGCATTCAGTTCTATATCTGCACAGAGTTTCTGATTATTGGGGTTTAGAATCTGTAACTCTGCAGATGTTACTGGATTCCAACTCCCACTAGCCCCAGCCATCATGGCCAATGATCAGAAATGCTGGCAATTGTAGTCCAACAGCAATTCCCTGACCACTGCTTTATACCAAGTCAAGACTCACAGAAATTCAGAGGTGGTTTTTAGTTTATCTTCTGCACTGCTGCATCCCCACAAAACAGTATCAGCTCTGAAGACTCGTGTGCTGATGCGTGCTACCAGATCACTCCTGCATTGCTTCTCCTACCAGCAGAAGTGGCTTCAGTAGCCAGCAACTTACAAGCAAGAAAAAGGTCGGCATGATATTTGAACCCAATGGCTCATTTTCCCAAATCTAGGCAGGAATCATAAGCCAGTTTCCAACCATGGCTTCTAGCACCGGTTTCTTAGGGGAAAGAAACCAGAAGTCCTGGTTGGAATGTCACTGTAAGCCTTTTCGTGGCATTAAGCTTTTTGTGTTTAAATGTGTGGTCCATGTGTTGAGATGGAGGGCCACGTCTTTTGGGCCCAAAGCCAGATTTCCTCCATACCAAGACCTGCGGGTTGGTTGATGTCATGGGGGTGAGCTGCAGCACCCGCTTATTTTTTCCTTTACAGAGAGAGATGTGATGGGGGCATGAGTGAGGCAGGCCTGAGAGGAGTGTGAGCAGGGTGGAAAGGAATTGGGCCTGACTTGCAGAAGCTGACTCTTGGCTGTGCTAACAAAGCCAGGTGGCTTCTGCTTGCATCCCAGTCAGGGTGGTAAGGAGGAGTCTGACTTGGCCAAGGCTTGCAGTATTATTTTATTTATTCATTTATTATATGTTTCTACCCTTCCTTTGTTCCCTCTTGCAAGAACACCAGGCAATTTATGTAATCTGTGAAGTAGGTTAAGCTGAGAGTCAGTGAGCTTCACGGCCACGTGGGGGAACAGAACCTATCGGGCGTTCCAGCCCCTCTGCCACAGTGGTGGATTCCCTCGTACTGCTCATCTAGGGCTCGGTAGAGCTGCAGCAGTTTTCCTGCTAGCCCTGACCAAGTGGAATTTGGAGAAGGAATTTGCCGCTGATGTTTGATCTCTGAATGGTGATGCAAAGGGATTTCCCACTGTGACATAAAGGGGAGTTTGCGGAGGGCAGAGGATGGAACCCATAGAGGGCTGGACAGGGCTCCTGTGTCGGGCAGGATTAGGCCCACAGACCAGAGATTGTCTGCCCTTACTTTATCCTGTAAAATGAAAGGTTGTTTTTAATTGTTAAATGTGTGTTTCAGTTTTGTTGTGGTAGTCATTTTTCCCACTGCTTTGACTGTCTAGGAGAAATAAGTTAAATTAGAAATGAAACATAAATCAAGTACAATTTTACAGAGCTACATAATTTTGTTGTTCACACTACAACAAAATCTTTTGGAAGGTGAATGAATCCAAACTTAGGAGTGAAGAACACCTGAGTGGTTTATAGCTATTGCATTCTGCTTTGCAACCTGCCTTACAGATAGGATGCTTTGGGGAAATCACCAAACCACCGAACCATCAGTGATTGGGTGAAAGTGGGTGGGATCAGAGAGAGAATGAGTGGCCGTCTGTGGGGAACCCTCCTGTTTTGCCCTCCATCTGATGTCCTCCGGATGTTTTGGGCCAGGGTGTATCTCCATGATTGTGGATGGTATGCCAAAGTATGTAGAGCAAAATCAAGAGGCTTTGTACTGAGATACCCTCTTCACCTTCTTGCTGTCTTCATTTTACAGATCCCCTCCACAGCTTATGCTAAGCAAAGTGTTCACAGCTCGAACTGGAAGCAGTATCTATGGAAGCTTAAACACGTGAGTATATGAGAAACAGCATGTGATTGATGTGAGTTATGGGTGTGGGGAGGCAGGCTTTGCCTCAAACCAGTTTGACTTCGGCCGGGGAAAAGATTGAGGAAGGGAAAGAGTGTTCCTTTTTCTGTGCTATGCTTGGCTTGCAGTCATTCATCGTTTTGGAGGGGAAAATGGAGGCAGAGCACAGAGAATAATAAAATCAAAGTACAAAGTTAGAGAACACAAATGACTGGATTTTTGTTTGTGTGTTTGTTTCATGTAGGCTTCAAGACAGTCTTGAGTTCATTAATCAAGACAGCAACACTCTAAAGCCAGATCATGGTACAATTATGAATGGACTTTTTACAAACATAGGTAATTATGTGCTGGCTGACTTTCTTGGGATATTTCTATCATAAGGCTTTTGACAATTGATATATCAGATAAACTTCCACAAACTGGGAAGCAACATTTTAAAGGAACAGGATGCCATGGATCACATGGTGAAGTTACCACTATCCCTAAGTTGCCTTGGTGGACAAAGACACCACCGGGGCTACCTAAGCCTCTGGCGTTGAACCTCAGGCCCACAGACCAAATCCAGGTGGCCCCTAGTTTCCTCCCAGGTGTCTGCTCTTCCTGATCCTACTCGTTTGCTGGATTGCTGATTGTTTTCTGACAGTTTCCCCCTCTCCCCGCAATTCCCAAGGCAGCAAGAGCTTTCACCCAATTTATTTATTGTACCTCTATACTGTCCCACAGCCACATGCGGCTGTTTCTGGTATGTTGCCCTCTCCTCTTTTGCCTCTGACTGTCCACCACGGGAATGCAGCTCCCGAGCAGTTGCCAAAGTAGACTTTGGCCCTCGTTCTGGAAGAGGGTCAAAACCCCAGCTGCACTAATACAGCTGGGATTAGGAGTGCACCCAAACTACACATCTGTTCTTTCAGGTGGTGTCCAGCTCTGTCCAAATGTGCAGGCCATTCATGTCAAGTGCTTTTAACTCAATCAATGTTACCACCACTACCACTGTTGCTACTGTTGCTGTTACTGCTATTGCCTTGTAAGATTACGGCTGTTCAGTTGTTCTCAGGTAATAAAACCAGCCTGGTTCTTCCTAGCATTTTATGCACTGGGGCCAGAGATAATGAGCAAAAAAGCTCTGCTTGTCCAACAGGATGTCCCTGGTTCTCCTGCCGCCTCCAGTGCTTCTCTCACAGATGTTCCTGAGGGCCCAGGGATCCTCCGCAAGGGCATGTGATGGAGCTTGAGGGGCTGCAGTGGGTCAGGGACCTTTAGAAGAAATTGGCAGAGCTGCCATGGGCCTGTCGAAGAGTCTTTCCACTCATGCAGGTCTCTTCTGGATTCAAACATGCAATTTTTTCTTGACAATTATTGTGAAGCACAACTTAATAAATATGAAGAGTGAGCTTTATTAATCATGCTTATTTTTGCTGCTGTTTTTGTTGTTGTGGTTTCTGTCATTCTTTTGTTCCTTTGTTTTTGTTGCAGTTAGAGGCCTTTATCCATGCAGGTGCTCCATAGCAGCCTAATTAATCTTCCATAATTGCATTGTGACAAAAAATGAAACAGTATCTTGTCAAAACCCTCTCCTTTCCCACCAGCTACATTCTTTCTGTTTCCCTGCTTGTCCTGCCATCTGTTTGGGCTGTGTAGCTGCTTACTGTTCGGAATGGTGTATTTGGCTGTCTAATGGCTGATCTACCAGGCTGGCTAAAAAGGTTAATCCATAGTGAACCCATATAAGCACCGGCGGATTGCTCCATATAAATTCAAAAGAACCATGTGCTCAAATATCCTTTTAAGCTATCTTTTTAATCAATGTTGCTCAGCTTTTAGGAACAAACTAGCTTTTAATAGGTGGCTAAAGATCAAGAGTATAAAATTAAAGTGATTTCTTTACATCTGGGACACACAGTAGCGTTTATTGCTGTCCGAGAAACACCAGGGTTGTGTTGGTTTTACTTGGTGTTCTGAGGCACGCCTCACTTTGCCAAAGGTACTCACAGAGTGGTGCCCAGTGCCCCTGCCCCTTGCCGCATTCTCATTATCTGAGGACCTATCTTAAGGAAAGGTTTCTGTAATTTCAGACATCAGGAGAGCTTCCACCTTGAGAATAAGTCATGGGTGGATGGCTGTTTGCTGAATAGGCCCGGGTGATGCCAACTGAAGAAGTGGCTGTTCCTGTTTTTAGCCCCCTGCTTTGTTCTCCAGCAACCTGAGAAGTGATTGTGTTCTGGCCCCCTCTTCCTAGTGCTTTACCAAGCTAATTTAAATTAGCTGTTCTCTTGGTGCCAAAACTTGCCGCACGACACGCTGCTTATCATAATTTCATAATAAAGAGTTTTGAAGGGTTGCACCGCTGTGTCTGCTTACAAGAAACGATCAGTTCCCTAGATATGAAAATAGGGAACTGCCCCATGAGGAGATGGAGGGTGGTGTGCAAGGGGAAACCAGGCTGATGGCATAGTGCAACTGGTGTTGCGGGTGAGGTGGGAAGACAGAAACATAGACCTCTGAGATGAGTTGGTGGAGTGGTGAGTCGGCGGCATGAGCAACATATGATTCCCCACGAGAAGAAATGTGGGCAGGAGGGAGGAAGCAGCTGAACAAAGAGCCAGGATGCCAGCAGCTTCTCAGGCCGTTGGAAAGCAGAGCAGCGGGCTGAGGGAAGAAAACACTTGCTCTGAAAACAGGCACTATTGTAGAATTCTTCACCTTCCAGGCCAAAGACTTGAGGCCGTCAAGGTACCACAGAATGGGGCCATCACAAAGGAAGAGGAGGAGTGGGGGAGAAACAGTTGGGGTGCACTGTAGGGATACAACTGGTACAGAGCATGTCCTTGTTGGCCTTGCACAGATGTTTGCAAGCATGCTTCCAGCATTCAAAAGGCATCCATCTGTTTCTTCATCAGCTGCTCAAACATGGCCCAAGGCTGCCATGTTTTCATGCAATGTTTCACCCAAAGAGTAAATGCTATCAGCTGTGGTCTGAGCTGACCAGGTGGAGACCAGATGCTCACTGGCACTTCTGTTTTTGTTTCTGTTCATGTTCTTGCAAAGCTTATTGGTGTTCTTCCATGAAGCATCAGTCCTTGTGAGTGGTACCCAGTTGCTCTTATGCTTGTTTTGGAGATGGGCTACCCTTTGTGCATCGTTCAGTGGTGGTTTTTTCCTCCTCGTCACCCCCTGCTTTGTGGACTGAGAGGTGCCTGAGTAGAACAGGTGGGAGGAACCTACTCCCTTGAGGACCAGCATCCATGCCTTCTGTACAGAGGTCCAATTTCTGACTGCATTTCTCCAGAGAAAGTACTCCAGACACTTCCCAAATGGCACTAGTCACATTCTTTGTTTAAATGAAACATCTCTAAGTGCATCCAGCAAGAGGACCAATTGCTTTTCTTGTGGCAGGAGGCATTGCTTGTCCTCAAGGGATAAGTTGTGGGCGAACTTGACCTGCAAACCAGGGGGACAGATTATTGTGCCTCTTGTTCTAGAAATACTGCTGAACTTCTGGACTTATCCAGAGTTCTGTGAATGTGCCAATTCCTTCTCATTGCAGAAATGTCTCTGAACTTTCTGGTGTTGTTGGTTTCCCTCTACTTCAGTCAGGGGCCACGTGGTCCACTCTTGCAATGCTCATGGCAAGAGAGCTGGGCTGGGTGAGAATTGTGGGGGCAAGGACTTGATCTCTGCTCCTTTGTGGCATGCGTTGTGCAGGCACAGTGAAGAATGCACTATACAATCCAAACCAGGTCTTGAATCTGTAGACCTTGGCTTTCAGGACTGGGGACATGCTGGAAAATTTCATATTGTTTTCTTTCACCACATTAATGTGCTCAAATCAGAGACAGGAAAGCCTAAAGGAAATAACTGAGAAAAACGAGTATGGAGTTCTTGAGAAATTCAAGGAAATCACCCCGCCCCAGCCGCCACCATTTTTCAGGGTTATTTGAAAAATTAGGGAAAATAATTCTCCTTCCCTGCTTTCTTTTGTACAGTCTTAACATCTTTAGACCACATCATTTATAGCAGCTTAAGATTAAAGGATATATATTAAAGATTTAACTTGTATATTAAAGTATACAAGTTTTGTCATTGTACCTTTCACTCTCACTTTCAGTGTAACCTTGAGGGTAAAATACTATTGGAAATGGTTGGTGAATTGGCCTTTTTAGTGCAAAATGGCCAAGTGAGTTATGTGCGTGTGAATAATCCAGATGCCCTGATGAAGTGTCCTGATCCCTTCTAATAGGGATGTGTGAGGAATCCACTTTGGAAATCCATTGGATTCCCTCAGCTCCACTCCCCAGACTCTGGCCCACTTTCTTGCAACCTAGGGTCAGCCTTGGTGCTGAGTGTGCCAAGTATTTGCGTAGGTGCCCACCAGGAATTGAACCCACGCAATGGTGCACACATGTGTGATTTGCAAGCTTCGTTTGTGCTGCTTGTGCTGTGCAAGAAAGTTGCCATGTTGTGCAGGAGGAGTACCACTAGCATTTGTAAAGATTCACAGACTTCCTCTTGGCTCTGCTCACTTCTTAGCCAAGGCTAAGCATGAGAAATAAGTGACAAACAGAAGAAAGATGGATTCTGCGGGATTGTTGCAACTCTTCTACCACACCTAAGAATATTCCTGTCAATGAAAAGGTTCAGTGAATACCCCTAGAGGAACCTTCCCCAACAGGATGCCCTCCAGAAGTTTTGGACTACGGCTTCCAGCATGCCCCAGCCATCCAACCTGAAGAAATAATCTTTCTATGAAACATGCACCAAAGTAGGCACCTCTCAAAATATGCAATCACATTTTAAAAGTAGAAGGAACAAAATGTTGGTCAAAGCAAAATAGAGTTAATCTATAACCAGAACATTTCTGGAAACTAAATTCAGTAAAAAGAATACTCATGACCCTTTGATCTTGCCAACTCTAGATGTTCAAAAGTTTACTCTGTGCATTAGTAGGATACTGTGTGCAAGCCAGGGTTTTTCAGCTCACCTGCTTTTTGGAAGCACGGTTGGGCCTCATGCTCATCTTCCTTTTAAGACAGCTGATTAACAGAAGGAAAATAAGATTTATAGGACAGTATAGCGTTTGAATATCAAAGTCCGTTTATGTAGTTGGATATCCTGAGTGAATCAGGTCCAGGCAAACCCTTAGTTGATCCTGTGGATGATTAAAACCTAAAAGGCCACAGCTAAAGGAACCATTTCTCGCTTCTCTCCTATTGAAAGAGAGAAGTCAGACTGGGGTTTTTCTTCTCACAGAAGAAGAAAAAGGGAAGCTTCTGTGTGCACGGGGTCACAGAATTATAGACATATTAAATGCTTTCACCTAAGCAAGTGGAAGCTGCTTGAAGTATGGAGCAGGAGTTTCCATCTGCTGTCGTAAAAATATTAAGACATAACAAAAGCCTCAAGGAAAGGCAGAAGCAGAGATGAAAGGACAGTTCCCATTCAGTTTGCCTGCAGTACGTGAGCCATGTGAAGAGGTGGAGAAAGTGTTCCCTTCTCATCCTCCTTGATCCAATTCGCCCAAAAGCTCAGATGTAGAACTTTTTTCTAAAGGAACTATTGGAAAGGGACGCCCAGAGATGCCCAGGTCTGCCCCATCCTAATTGCTTTGATAGTGAAGACAGCACTTGACCCTCCTTTTTAAATTTGCAATGATTAGCTGTATCTTTCCCCCAAGGGCACATGATTCTCCTCTGTCCCTAACCCGTTATATTCTATGCTGTAAAGTAGGTTGGAAGTTGATGATGAGTCCAAGGCCAGCCAATGATCTTCATGGCCATGGGGAGATTGGAATCTGGATCTCCCCAGTCCTAGGCCAACATATTGACCACTACATCACACCGCCCTTTCATCCTTAAAGCAACTGTTCTGGGGAGAGAACCAAACTGACCTGAGACAACTTGCCAAAGTGGTTTGCTGCCTCTGAGATCAATGCCTGTTATACATGCATGTCTTAGTGTGACAACCCTAGGGGAAAAATGGGGGGGGGCAATAAAAATGGAGGAAAAAGCTATTCGCCCAAAAAATTGTCTGCTTGTTTTATGGGCTTTCACACTGTATGTGTGTGCATATATGCACTGGTCACTCTGAAAGATTAATGTCTTAAGCCAGTGAAGAAATAGGTACATTATAGATTATGTCAATACAGTGAATTGTGAATTGAGATAATCAGAATAAATGAGAGTGCTTCTGAACAGTCTAAAAACTAATTTGACATTCCCCCATCCACCACGTTCTAATTTATTGTGAATGAGGAAAACGCATATATAAAAATGTTACAGGTACTGTTTATTGAGAAGGACTGTTAACCAGTTTGAATTTCTATTTCCAAATGTAAAAGGTGTGGGTTTAGCTGTGTCTGTGGGTCTGTGTTTGTGTTGGCTTGTATCTCTCTCCCCTCCCCAAATCTGTTCTGCTTTACTAACCTCATTCTTTCATATGTATTTTACGTTTTGCCATGTAGGTTTTTCACAGCTTTGCAGCCCTAGGCGGGCATTCTCTGAACAAGGTCCGCTCCGCCTGATCCGGAGCGCCTCTTTCTTTGCAGGTTTGCTATGTGCTGTGTGGTTAGTCTAGCTGGTGTGACAAAACTGAGTGGATTTGTAGCTTAGCCTTGGAAATAAAACATGGTCAAAACAAACCAAGTTCTCAGATATCGGATGCACACAGTGGGGATGGATATAGATAATACGCTAAAATTTAAAGCAACTCCATCTCTTACTCTTCATTTCAAATCCAGCTAAGCATTTGAATGCGGCTTGCAATGTCTAACTATGGATATTTGTCAGCATGTGATTTAATTTGAACTCCAGCATAAAAGAATGATAATTCACTGGTCACCTGTACTCCTGAAATAAATAGTGTGATTTTTGTTATTAGTTTCTATTAACCAAGTCTTATTTCCATGGCTGATTTTAGATATATATTTTCATGGATCAGACAAAGATATGACTTCTAGAATAAATGCGATCAAGAGGCTTTTGATCTGGTGGATGAAATCCTAGCACATGTCTAGGATTTCACTTCTCTGTTTAATAAGAACTGGCTGCAAATGCAGATAGCTTCATGCTTAGTTGAAGAAGCAAAGAATTCTAAATCCAAATCCCAATTGTTCTATAACACCCGTTGAACAGCTGTTTGCTATCAATTTCTTCTTTAGTATGCTGCTTATTGCTTGCATGGAGTGCTTTCTTTCTTCCCCCTTGTGCCACTATTATTTCATTTGCCTTGAAATAAAATGGTTGGCTTGACAAGCACTGCCAGAGCACTCTTACAAGCAACTGTTTTGGCTGGACCAGCTTTGCAGCCTTTCTTGGTGATGGATGTGTGTATTTCTATATGTGCTGTGCTGCTTTTTTTTACATCCTAAATGAATGCAGGCAATCAGCATGATTTATTTGGATAATTAAATGGAACAGTACGAAATGGAAAGTTCAGATTCTTGGGCTAACTGGCATCCTTATCTGCGTAGTTCACAGCAACCCAATGGACATGCCTGGGCGGGAGCTGAATGAAGACAGAGACAGCGGAATCGCACGATCTGGTAATGTATTTATCAAGGAGTCGAGGACTGTATTATCACTATTCTATATTCATTTAGTCTGTTTCTGCTTCTGGACATCTGAAATCAGAAGTCCTGATGGTGTGTCTTCCCTTCAGCATGTACTAATATGGTCAGCACTTTACATTATTTCAGTGTGTTTGATATAAAATATTTCTCCAATACTAATTAGGTTAACAGGTAATGCCAAAAGTATGTATTTTGCATGATTTTTATCACATTCAATATCAGTAGATTATTTACCACTTTCTAAAACTGAAAGCAATTCATTATTGATATTTCACTCATCCTCGTGACTAGCTGGCTTGTTAATACTGGAGTGTTATATATACAGGGCTGAGGGTGAAAGATCATAGAGGTGACCACAAGTCAGAGAGCTTTTACAGAGCACACTTTAAAGGGTGTATATTTACAGCAGAGATTTCCCTTGCTGGTCTGCCCGGACGGCATGTCATGGCCTAAATTTCTAGATCCTGACGCATCAATGCTGATAAATCCACAGAAGCAGGTTTCCATATGCTGCTGAGTCTTGCATCCACACGAATGCATAAAAACAGATGTTGTGGTGAGAATGTGTCCTGGGCATTGCACGTTGACTTCCACGCGCCTAATAAGTGTGGTCACTTGATCACTTACTACTCCCAGGCCCTTGGAGTAGCGATAGACTGGGAGGGAGCCCTTGCACACAGTAGCAGGCACAGTTTGGTGCTCTTCTGATGCAGATGCTGGGGATCACAAGTGGGAGGGTGCTATTGTGTGGTGGATGAATTGCGGACTTCTTGCTGGCTACTGTGTGAACAGATTGCTGGACTAATGGGCTTTTGTGCTGACCCAGCATGGTTACTCTTGCATGCTTCTGTTATGCTATGCTTGATACAAAGCATGGCTGGATTCATGTTCCAGTGTTTCCAAAATAATTAGGGCAGAGTGAGGCGTTGTAGAAAAACATCTAAACAAGATTGTTGTCAGGAAACTGCACATGGATCTGCTTCTCACAGATCTGTGTGCATGAGCTGGCAGGGAATCGAACCCAGATTGATGACTGATGTGCTGCCCCTGGGCCACAATGTTTATTGCACTTTTATCAGTCAAATTGCACTTGATTTGCAAAATGCTGTTTCTTCTGTTTTAAAGGAAACAATCTCCTTCTGTCTCTTTTTTGGCTCTTAGCATCTCTTAGCAGCCTGCTTATCACCCCATTTCCTTCTCCGGGCTCCTCATTGAACAGAAGCTGTGCTAGTAGTTACCAACGGCGTTGGCGTCGCAGTCAGACAACAAGCTTGGAGAATGGGGTCTTCCCTAGGTGGTGAGTCAGAGCTGTTAAAAATGCCTTCCATGCTTCTGTAGGAAACTTACATATGTGTTTATTTAGAAGGAAATTCCAGGCGCAACATCTTGCTGCTTTTTCCAAAAGTTCTGTGAGATCTTTTCATATGGTAGCCAGGGTGGATTTTTAGGATATTGGAATTGGCATGTTTTAGCCTGCTCTTACTTAATCATACTTTTATGCTGTAAGTTCCACTATGCATTAGAAATGGGATTTTTCCCCTTTGTATTCAGTCGAACTTGGTCTTTTTTCAGTATCTCTTGTTAATACAAAAGTGTGAGGGCAGCAACATATACTTGTTATTCATATAGTGAATTCAAGCAATGTCTTATTGTGGTGCTGAACTTAGACAGTAAGACTGTGACTCTTGTGCCACATTGCCGTGCTTAGAACAATGTCTCAGATAAGCCATAGCAGATATGACTGTCTTTTGTGACAGAGAAGAGAGGGAACAGGTTTATTCTAAGTGAAGCTTCAGCATACTAAGTGTAAATTTTTGGAAGTAATTTAGTATGCAACTTTTGATTCCCCTAAAGGTCGGTGGAAGAAAGCTTTAACTTGTCGGATGACAGCTCCAGCCCAAGCCCAGGAATTGTCAGGAAAAAGAAAATAGCAATTGGAGTGATATTCTCACTTTCAAAAGATGAAGAAGAAAATAGCAAATTTAATGAGTTCTTTTTCTCACACTTCCCTCTTTTTGAGAGCCATATGAACAAACTGAAGAGTGCTATAGAGCAGGTAAGTAACCCCACCGCCTGTATTTTTCCTTATTCTTATCCAAATCTTCAATTTAATTACTTAATTTCATGTAATTGAGGGTGATGATTTTGATTTCTATATTGCTTTTTTACCAAAAAGAAAAAAAGCCACTAAGGCACTGCCTAACCAGTATAAAATAAAAACAGAAAAGCAAATCTGGTTTGGCTTGTCAATTGGTACTATTTGGTCTATAGTAGGGCTAGAGTATCTTGTGAACTAGGTTCTATGTGAGTGCACAGACAGACTAAGTAATACTGACTTTGGTTAGGTCATAGCTCCATGGAATCACACATGTTTTGCATAGAGCAAGTCCCTGAGTCCAGCCTCTGGTATCTCTAGTTAAAGGATCTGAAGTGGCCAGGAGGGAACGTCCCTTGCCTATGACCTTGGATTGCCGCTAATTTGCTAGGGCAGACCAACCTTTTCCAACATGGGTTCATTTGGGAGGTTTTAGAGTACAACTCCCAGATTCCCTGACCTGGGACACTAGTTTGGGGAATGCTGGAGTGGGCAGAATTGAGCTAACAGATGTATTGGTCAGACTCTTAATAAGCCAGTGCTATATCTTCACATGGTTTATTTATGCCAAAGCAGTGGCAAGGAGAGAATTGCCTTGCCGACAGTCCTGTGGCTTCCCAGGTTTTCCTGCAGCCTTTGTGACTGCATTCATACAGTGAACAGGGTGCCTAGTGTTGCCCAGGGATGGTACTCCTTTGAGCAAAGGCTGCTTCTGCTCCTCTAGGCAAGAAACCTTGTGGATGAGTCACCTCTCCTCCCTTACACGGATATTGTGCCATGTGACATGAGTGTTCCACCCAGTTTCCTATTGTGCAAATGCCCATTTTATGTAGTGCTTCTTCTAAAAAGGCAGGGGAGACAGTGTGTCGATGCAAGTATTTCATGCCTTTCATCGGGGGAAGGTTATCTGTCTGGGGACAGGGTGCATATGTGTCTACACCAGCCTTCCTCAGATGTGGCCCATGGTCACAACATTTGTGGAAGGCACCAGGTTGGGGAAGGCTGTCCTATACCATGTGCAGTTTCTTGCTTACCCAGTGAATACCTGAACTGGGTCCTCTTCATTTGCTTTGATAGCATTTCTGATTTTGAAAGGACTGCAGGTCATTGCAACTTCAGTTTAGTCCTTTACTCACAGATTAGATCCTGTTGCTGAAACAATTAATTACGCTTGCAATTGGCTGAAAGCATATTAATTCAAAGGACGCACTGCTCTTGCAGTGAGGGAGTCAGTGCAGGAAACCTGGGGTCTCTTTATAGCCCTTTGCAAGCAAAAAGTGTGGAAAGAAAAGACAATGCAGATACATGCACTGTGCGTATCTTTATCTTGACATGAAATCTGGCAAGGAGCCAGGCTTTATCATGGTACAAAAACCCAACAAAGTTGTTTGCCTGTCTGGGTGTACCTTAGATAGAGCACAGCACATGACTTGTTTTTCATTCTCTGTTGCTATGCCTGATGTCAGTTATATGTTGTACAATTGTTTCCAAGGCTATGAAAATGAGCCGTCGATCCACTGATGCCAGCCAGCGGAATTTGGCATATAACAGGATTGTGGATGCCTTAAATGAATTCAGGTGAGTTTGGTTTCCAACTTCAGTATATGCTGTAGCCAAATATTTAAGGCTTCTCTTGCAAAGTGTGACGGAGTTTTTAAATCTGAGCATATGATGTTCAATTGAAGTCCCTCATCTCACAATTGAGATTTAGAGAGACTGTTTGCTGCCAAACAGTAAGAGAGCTAGTGTGTGAAGTAGAGGTTAGAGTGTCCTACCTGGACATGGAAAACCCAAGGTTCAAATCCTTTGTCTATTATGAACCTCTCTAAGAGACCTGGGCAAGTTTCTGCTCTCCATTTAGGCTACCTTTCTGGTTGCCCATCTGTTTGGAGAAAAGGAGGAATACAAATCTCACAAATGCTTCATGGAGGCAGAGAGTGGATGGGAAAAATTATCATCTGTATAGCCTGAAATGCCTGATCCTGCCTAATTTCAGAAGCTAAGCGGAATTGGGCTTGCTCGGAATCTGGATGGGTGACTTTAAAATGTTGTGAACCGTCCAGAAAACTTCGGCTGTGGGCAGTATAGAAATTTAATGTATTCGTAATAAAGTAAGCATTGTGACTGACTAAGTGTGACCTATATACAGTTGCACTTTATAGTTGTTACGCTTCTGGAGAATGCATTGGAAACCATATTGCCTATTATTGGTTGTATTGAGAAGATCCCAACTTCACCAAGAGCAGATGGTGTGAGCAGAAGTTCTTCTGAAACAGCTGTCAAACACAGAAAGCCACATGAGAAACAGATTATGAGCTGAAGGGCTTCAGCTTCTTTGCATGTATAGCTGCCTGAAATTAACGTCCACTTGCTATGCTCATTTTCATAAGTCTAGCTGATCATATGATAAGATGGGCAAATTCTATAGTATTGTCCTGTAGGAAACTTTGAATCAGCCATCGATGTTTTCCCCTTGAAAAGCATGACAGGGGAAGATGGAATGGCTGTCAGATTCTTTCCACTTGCTTCATTATTTTGAATGTTAAGGTTGCCTCATCCCCTAAATGTAGCCTCTACAACATTGAGAGCAGGATAAATATTTTTGTTTCCCTTTTGGGATTGTAGCAGACAGAGGTATGGATAGTTGATGGACTGTGCCCTGCCTTTGGCTTCTGAAGAGACTCCAGCATTTTGAGAAGAGGAAGCATTAACTTCAGTTTCCATCTTCTTATAATTAAAGGCAGAAGGATCCCAGGGGGGCTGTGACTTGGGCCTGAGCTCAAAGCATGCAGACGCTCCCAGCTCTGATCCTTGACTTCTCCAGTGCCAAGTTTTGTAGGTGGCAGAGTTTGCCAGAGAGCTTGGAAAGTTAGAAAGTTGGGTTTGCACAGACTTAATTGGAGGCAACAGTTGCCACCCCGTGTCTGCTCAAGCTGCTGTTCTACTGGACCAGCATCCTGGAACAATTACTTTGTTCAAAGACTGCTTTAAGACCAACACCTTGCAAATTGATACAGATAATATTTGCAGTATGGCAGCACTGTCTTAGAGGGGACTCTTTCCCCTGAAACATTTGGTGACCATCCCATATCCATCCTCTCTTGACCTAACCTGAACAGTGCTGCAAAGAGCTAAGTACGGAGTGCTGGTTGCACGCAGGACTAGCGGGGCAGTGGTTGAAGGAGAAGAGGTGCCTCCCGGTAGAGAACAGCACCTATTAATTCTGTCAGTTTCGCCACCAACCAAGCATGTTCAGACAGGACAAACAGTTACTCTGAGAGTTTTGCAATAGTGATCGACATGGGATGGGAACCTCTTTCTTTTGTGCCACTGGCAGGACTGGTTTTCATTTTATCCCTGACTGTGTCTCCTTTTGGCTTCTGTTCCATACCTAATTTGAGAATGGTTCTGTTCCATTTGACCCATGGAGCACATCCAAAGAAGCAAAGATCACTTATCAGCATGATAATAGGGGTAAATAGAACGAAAATGTTTGCAAAGGAGAAAACCAGTCGGATTTATACTGTATCAGGAAGAGATGTCCTGATTGAGCCTTTTAAGCACAGTTTTATGCCCAGGTTTCCATGGTGCAGTAAATATTGTTCTGCAGCAGTACAACTGGATACACAAAATCCAGGATGGAAATTAAACTAGCTTTGGGTGATTTTACTTTTTAACTAAGCATGTTAATGTGTAGAAGGACCACAGTAGTTAGGATATTTTCTATGCTAAGTTTTCCTTTTTGGGAGCTGCAAATTGCTGAGTATAAACAGTGAAATTGTAGAATGGCAGGAGCGGTTTTTCTTCCAACCCTCTTTGGCAAAAAAAAAAAAAGCCAAATACTGAAATCAAATGGTGATTCAAACACTAGCTAGTTGGGGAGACACATTTACCAACCTTCTGGAGTGAGAGAAACTGTGAGTGTATTTCTATGCTGTGTAAGAGAAAACTTTCAAAAAGGAGAGAGTTGCTTTTATTTAGGGGGCTGATAGCATTTGGACTATCACCTGTTATTCAAGTAACCTGACCCAGAAACTTATTTTTCAAACAGCGTACCAAAAACTAGTAATCACTGAGGAGTCAGTGTCCAGTTTAAGAGACCAGCTGATCTGTTTACTAGAGACCAAGACAAATGAAAAATATACTGCCTCTTCTGTAAGATATTTGTCTGGGCAGTGAGAACAAAACAAAATTATCATAAAGCTATTTTTAGTCTTCAGTAACCATGTTCACATTCTATCTTACTGCGATATTTTCCCCTCCCTCCTGTAGGCTTTAGTTTTTGAGTAATTGACAAACGGGTGCGTTCAAGCATTTGCAGCATGCAAGGGACAAGATCCCTTTGGACCTGATTTGTAGCAATTCCAGGGAATTGCAAGACCCCAACCAGGAGCTGTTTGGAATGGCAGTTGTCAATGTGAAAATGCTGTTCAGTTTTATTTGCTTTCACATAGAATACATGCAGAATTTCTGCCCAGTCTTTCCCTGATTTTGCAGATTGAGCCTCTTGTATAACTTTCTGTTTTCTCCATCTTTTTGTAAGTTACAAATGTGCTGTACCTTGTTTTTATAAGTGTTGCAAAATGCACCAGTGAAGACTAGAATGCTGACACTGGGCTCAAAGCTTGCCTGTCTTAATTGCTCTCATGGCATTTCAGCATTCTGACTTTGCAATATGTGATATTATTCCTTACTAATTAGATGAAAAGAATCTATCTGTACAGCTTAAATCGTGCACAATTTAAAAAGCATGATTTTGCTTTTTAATATTTGTGTAAAAAAGCCCAAACCTTTGCCTTGTAAGGAAACTGGCCGTAGGATTAAGACATGTGTTATTTTTAGTACACATGAATGTATGTATTTGGACTGAGGCAAATTAGTGGGTGGGGCTGATTTGACAAAGTTACCCACAAACATCTGAAAAATGAATGCTTGCACCAAACCACAGACAGAGGAGAAACTAAAGGGAATCCTGCTCCTGGAAATACAAACCACTACAGCTCAGCCAAATCCTGTAGCGCTTTAAGATGCTTTAAGGAGAAGGTGTTGTCTTAAGTTCTCTGTGTGCCCCTGCTTGCGCCTTGGCCTGCTTCTGTTTCCCTGGAGTTCAGAAACAAAAGAGGGCCCTATTTTTCCTCACCATTCCAATTTCAAGGTATTTCCTGCAAGGAAGTGTTGCTATTGATAACGATCTCGCTATGGTGTTTCAGTCCAGACTCGCTTTGCATATTGGTTAATTGTACAGGCACAAAACATTTCTGTTCTTCTTGAAAGCAAGCGTGCCTTCCGCGTTGGTGCTCAAGAGCTCGTGCAGGTGTCTGTTGCCATGCTGCAGTGTGCTGCGTAAAACCAGCAACTTTCCTTGCACACACATTTGGTTGCCCTTACAGCCCTGAGGGCTGGCTGGGTGCATGAATGCTGATTATGTCTCTAACATCCAGGTGGCATTTATTTGAGGGAGGAAAGTATGCAGGAAGAGGAGGTGACATTGCAAACAGGGTAGAGGGACACACCTCTTGAGCTTTGTCAGTCCTTGTGACACTCCGGGGTTTTAATACCGAATGTACCCTTTCGCTGAGTTACTTTAAAATGACCAACTGTGCAATGGGACCCACGGTCTTGCTCAGTGAGGCCCCTCTGAATCTAGTAGTGGCTTTTTCCAGAGCACATCCTGGCATGTTGAAGGTCTTGACTGCCTTCCAAAATAACTCAGGTATTTATAAAAATAAAAAGGAGGGGGAAATGCCTGTGAGATAAAAATTAAATTGAGCACAGAACAAATTACAGTATTAAGTAAACAAATGGATTATTTCTATAGATTCTTCCGTGTGAAAATGATTGCTTTTCCTTGGAAAGGGTCTGGCACTGGCAATGAAAGAATTCCTTTAAGTCAGTGGAAACTTCCTGTGTGCTTTGAACTAGGCGTGCCCAGTCATGGAGCCATCCTCCCAAGCAGATGAGAACAAACATTTTGGGGTCAGTGGCGCACAGTTTTGCTCTGAAATGATAGGACTCTGTAGATTAGAGCCATCCTGTTCTACCTGCTACAGAACCTCCAGCCCCTTGGAGCAGATTTGAGGAGGAGAGCTTGAGAACTGTGGCAGGATTCTGCTCTGCGGGTCGATGCTCTTCTGCCAGCGGATGGACACAACTCGATATCATCCTTAGTCTTGTACCAGGATTCAGAGTCTGCTTATCCATAAACGCATTAACTACACATCAGAGTGTTGTGAGGAAGGGAATTAGTTGGATGTGTGATCCAGTCATACTCTCACAACCAAAGGTGCCACAATATAGCAATGTTTCTTCTTTGCTAGTTTTTATTAGCCAAGAGAGGCAAGGGTTCAGAATAGAGGTCATTGCACGAACCTGTCCAAGCACCTTGTTAGCATCCTTGAGCTATACCAACTGGAACTCATCCCATCCCAGAGCTGTCTAGAAGCCTTTCAGATCCACTGGCATGTGGGCATGGAGATCTCTCTAGTCTCCTTTCCCTTGCAGAGGAAAACAATCCTCATCAGTCTACTACCTACCCAGCAGGTAGTGCTCTGACCATGACAAAGGGACTGAATCAAAGT